TTTACAATGTTTGGATCCATTTCCAAAAGAAATACTGTCCTTGGCTTCTACAAGTTTCCTATTTGCAGCCTGAAAACTTCTTCTTGAGAGTCTTTGTTTTCTGCAATGAAAATGGACATAACAAACAAATATAAACAAACAAAACCCAAATAAATTGGAAAGATCAAATAAGTAAAAACTATAGCATGGGGGCTGTGGCAGGATTCAGGCATAACTGGATGCCTCTTATGGCATAACTGGATGCCTCTTATCTTTTGATCCTCTTACCGGCTCGGCTGATGACAAGTTAATCTCGACATTAACACAAACTTTTTCAGAGTAGATCATGATAGGAATATTTAATCACTGAATTTGCTCCATGGTTCTATGACCTGAAGAAAATCTCAAAACAGTTTTTAGTGCAGCATTAACCTTGTTGATCTCAAGTGTTTATTTTCCCCTGTTGCATAGTATATGTTATTCTTTCATTAGTGTGACCTTAATCATTCTCAAATGTGCCAGGTATTGTTGAATACAGTACTCTAAATGACCCTGGACCCAAGAGCTCCAAGCTACATGCTTGCCTAATTGGGCAAATAGTACAAAATTGGAAATTCTTTTTCTTAATTGTTAATTTTAAAGAGAAGCAATTGGTTGTTTTAAAACTAATTCAAGTCCAAATAATTCATTTAAACAGTGGAAGATGATTCTTAACTTTCTTAACTTTTTACCATCAAGACGTATGCTATTCAGCTTATAATCTTAAGAGGTTTACTTAATGACTTGCTTTTTTATGACTGAATAAAATCTTACGGTTTTTCACTAACATTCTATCCTTGACCTTTCTTTGCTACTCAGGAAAACATCATTAAGGGGAATACACACACACACATATGCACACACACACACACATACACATTCATGCACATACACAGAGCATTTTATTCATTGGTTGTAGACTTGTACACCCATTCTACCACATTTACAAATGAACTGATATGTATATCTATTATTGTTTTCTCAAAACATTCATCCATCAATTCCTTTCTGATATTTAAAATGAAGTAACAGCTCTTTATAAAAGAATACTAGAGGGGATCCCTGGGTGGCGCAGCAGTTTGGCGCCTGCCTTTGGCCCAGGGCGTGATCCTGGAGACCCGGGATCGAATCCCATGTCTGGCTCCCGGTGCATGGAGCCTGCTTCTCCCTCTGCCTGTCTCTCTCTCTCTCTCTGTGACTATCATAAATAAATAAAAAAATTAAAATGAAAAAAAAAGAATATAAGTGTTGGTAACATATATTTTGTTTTGTAATGAATTAATAATTTATTTTGGCAATGTGGAACAGGCAAGTAAACAGCATATATGGATATGTAAGGCAAAGCAAATCAGATTCCCCTTAAATTCTTTTTTTCTAAGATTTTATTTATTTATTCATGAGAGACACAGAGAGAGGCAGAGATGTAGACTGAGGGAGAAGCAGGCTCCATTCAGGGAGCCCGATGTGGGACTCGATCCCCAAACTGGGATCCCACCCTGAGCCAAAGGCAGATGCTCAACCACTAAGCCACCCAGACATCCCACCCCCCTAAATTCTGATGAATACTTTGTGATGGCAAGTAAGGCAGGATACTAAATAAATAGTTTGTATTGCCAGTCTGCAAAGATAAAGAATCAATTAACTCTGTACTTTTGGGATGCATTGCTTAGGATTAGTAATTTACTCAAAGATTCAAAGATAAGAAATAAGTGAAGAAATAGTTTACATTAAAAATTAGTCTTAAAATTTTGACCATGAAATGTTTTCATATAACAATACCATTAAGACATAAGCCAAAAAGAAAAGAAAAAAAAGAGGGAGACAGAACCAGTCACATACAATTAACACCATTAGCTGTTTACTAACCATGTTGGCTATATTTTAGTGAGTGTGATTATTTTACATATTATTATATTCATGAGATGGTATTAAATCTGTTACAAATATGGATCCATGTATTCAGCTGTATTAATAATAAATATAGTATCAATTGTTATCCTCTGTATATTCTTTCACTTGAGCTCCTTGTAAAGGTCCCTCCACAGATATCTGTCAAATGGATTCTTCTTTTTATAGCCAAATTCTCCAATAGCTTGGGGGATTTGGTGAAAACCATCTGGAATGTTAGTGTCTTTAATCTAAATTAAGTGTTGTTTATGCTGCGCTAAACAGAGTGTCTCGATTGATATCTAAATTGGTTAAGATCACTGGAAGCAGAATACAGGGATTTTAAATTCTGAGTTGTTGTTAGGGTAAATGAGTTAGCACATGGCAAGCTCATCAGTACCTTTATCATAATAAATATTCAGTAATACCACTATTATCTTTTTGAAAGAAAAATTTCTGAAGGTATTATATCTTTATTTAGACAGGACTAATTTGGTGTTTTTATGTTTATTAAGACATGACTAATCTAAGAAATATAAATAAAATCATAGCCTAGACTTGATGTTAAAACAAAAAAAGAAAAAAAAAACAAAAAAAGAAACACTAGAAAAATATCTTCAGTATTTGTTAGGTTCCAATGACAGACACATAAAAGGAAACACTGAGAAATTTGCCAAATAAGATTTAAAACATTGTGTTAAAGAAAATGTTCAACACAATTAAATCAAAACAAACTTAAAAACATATCTGTGACATCTGATAAAGGATTAATATCCTTTATAAGCAAAGAACTCATGAATTGACTTTAAAAAATGACAAATGTGCAAAAGAAAAAATAATTGCCTGGGGATAAACTTATAAAAAAATCTTCGAACTAGGTAACAACTCAAGAATGGTAACCTAAAACAACTATAAGCTGCCATTTTAAAGTCAATTTATTTGGTTTTTAAAATAATGATACACAGTACTTTATCTGCATATCCAAAAATTCAAAAGCTCTAAAAACTGCCTTTTGTAACTCATTTGGTAGCAAAATGTAATCTGACTTGGACACTCTGGAAGCAAAACAGAGCTACCTGATATGAAGTACTCCTCATTTGTACCTTTTAGTGCAAATCACATCATTTTGATTGAATAAATACTCTTGTGTTTGATTATAAAACTGCTTCCCCAGACTCCACTTGGAGTCTTCTGGAATAGAAGGCATTTGCATCATGTTAACTTCTGAAAATTAAAAAAATTCTTAATGCCAAAACCTGAAGTTTGGGATGAAGAACTGAAGACTTGCATTTAATTTGACAATACAGAAAAACAAAGTTATTCATAAACCCCCAGCGAGATTACGAATTGTTCTATTCTGCGAGTGAGGCAGTGATAATCTGGCAATTTATATCAAAAGCCACAAACAGGTATATGCCCTTTAATTCAAAATTCCACTTCTAGGAATTTATCATTACTAAATTACTAGGAAAATAATGGAAGATTTAGGTTTTAGTAAGTCCAACACAGACGGTATATAACAGGTAAAAACTGGAAAGTCCCAAATACTCTGTTACAGAAGGTAACAGGCTTTAGCCATACCACAGACCACTGCTGCGCCACTTTCAAGTGATACTATACAATAATGCTCATTCACATTGAAGATGCTTTTGGTATCTTGTTAAGTAGAAATATCAGGCTATAAAGATAATATGCACTATATGATCTAATTTCTTAAAAAATTATTTGTATTTGTCTATGTCTAAAAATATTTAAAGGATATTCACCAAAATATTAACAGTGGTTATCTCTGGATGGCAATATTGCAGGTATTTATAATTTTCTTTTTATGACTATGCCTTGTCTACAGTTATGTGTTATTACTATAATAATAAAACTTTTAGGGGATCCCTGGGTGGGTCAGTGGTTTAGCACCTGCCTTCGGCCCAGGGTATGATCCTGGAGTCCCGGGAGCCCTTGTCGGGCTCCCTGCATGGAGCTTGCTTCTCCCTCTGCCTGTGTCTCTGTCTCTCTCTCTCTCTCTCTCTCTCTCTGTGTGTGTGTGTCTCTCATGAATAAATAAATAAAATCTTAAAAAAAATAAAACTTTTAAATATACCATTTGAAGCATGTCAGTATATCTTACTTAGATTCCAAGTTATATATATATATATATAATATATATATACACACGTATAACTTGTATGTATATACATATATAAAATTAATATCTATTAAAAATGATATTCATCATATTTATAGGATTTAATAATTATAAAGGCTCAGTATATTTGGAAAAACAGTATCATAAAGCAAAGCCTTGTTTTCAAATAGCATGTTTGTGCCTATAGAAGCATTTACAACATACTGAGATGAGCACTGTGTATTATACTATATGCTGGCAGATTGAATTTAAATAAAAATTTTAAAATAAAAGATTTTTAAAAAGAAGCATTTGTAGCATTGTTATTTTAAATGTGTATGTGTGAAAATTAGCCATGAAGAATGGGAAATATAAATCATATTGCCAAGGAAAGTGGATTTAAAATTTTAGACTTTATAAAAAAATATGCCTAGAGAGTATATTGGCAGCATTGAAATTCTGACCCATGTGGAGAGAACAGCAAGCTAACTATCTTGAATCGTGGGATGTCAATTGAGAATTTATAACACCTTTGTTTCAGTCATCAGCAATAATTTGCTATCCTCGGAAATGTATTTTGACAATATGATCTTTATCCTGAAATACTCCTTTTAACAATACAAATAAATAAGAAACCTGTATGCACTTTCGGGAAAGCAAATTGCCTCTGTACTGCTTTGAGTGGTGATAACAGGATGACGTGCCATCCTACCGCTTGGCATGGGATAAACAGCTAGACCCAGCAGTCTATCTGCAGAGAAGAGAGCTCTGTGTTTTAACTGCCAATTTTCAAGTCAGTGCTTATATTGCCTACAATATGCATCAGAAATTTGGTGCTGACTCTGAACGCTTTATTCCACTTTGGTAGACTACTTCTGCAATCCATGAGCAATTACATTGTATTATTACTTTTTATTAGAAATTGTGATATCTGTTGCTTATTTACTGAAAGAAGTAATTCTTTATTTTCCAGAGCTTCCATATGGCTGGGAAAAAATCGATGATCCCATATATGGCACTTACTATGTTGAGTAAGTCTTTAAGTTTCCTACTAATTTGTTATTTATACATTGTGAAACTGTGCTAGTATTTCAGTTATTGAGCATGTGTAGCTAACAACCCCTTTACTTCCCTTTCATCTTACTTTGAAGTATCCACAAAGACTCTAGCAGCACCAGCTAGCTGTCTCTTCCTTCTCCAGCTGGCTAATTTGTCATTCTTTTCCTTTGACTCATGATTCTAAAACACCAATTGGAAAAGTGTTTCATACTGTCCTCTAAATGAGTGATAATTAAAGATATCAAAGTAAATGCCCTTCATTTTGCAATCAAAATGTTGGGAGCTGACTAGTTGTGCAAAAGAAATGTTCTATTAAACTAGATTTCCAAACCAATTATATGATGCAGCTCTACTTTCCAGTTGAAGGATGAAATAAAATTTCAATGGTTGTTTTTAAGGCCCCATTTCAAATCAATAGTATTCTTTCTGTAGCTTAGACTTTTATGTTTTCTAATGGAGGTTGTATTGCTTCAATGTTCCTTAGCATAATATGAGTTATCCCCAATGTCCATTGTTTGATTTCAAATAAATCCCCCATTAGGAATTAAATTATATACACATTAAGGGAAATCAAGTAATATTCATAATTTCCAAAAGTTAGGGCAGCCTGAGTGGCTCAGCAGTTTAGCACCGCCTTCAGCTCAGGGTGTGATCCTGGAGACCCGGGATCGAGTCCCACATCGGGCTCCGTGCTTGGAGACTGCTTCTCCCTCTGCCTGTGTCTCTGCCTCTCTCTCTGTTTCTCTCATGAATAAATAAATAAAATCTCTAATAATAATATGAATTAATATTAATTAATAAAATAAATAATAATTCTCTAATAAATAAATAAATAAAATCTTTAAAAATAATAATAATAATTTCCAAAAGTTAAATGTGCAAGTCACGTTTCTAGAACCCCATTTTCTGATAGGGAATATTTTTTTATTCCTCCTACTATTTAATCTTGTTAATGTTATTTGGGTGAATAGCAAAGCCTACACCTTGCTTATGAGAAGTGTACTGCCCAAGATATGCAGGGACTGAAAAACTTGGTGTTCACATTGTTTATCAAGATCTAACTCTATTTTTTCTAATCTCATTCTATTTAACAATAATAATCTAGATGGTCAAGGATTAGAGATTAATAGTGTTATTGCTAAATTGTTTTGGTAACAATAGTCAGTCACTGAGCTTTTACTAAGTATCAAGCCCTTCTTTGTGCTGGGAATGTACTGTTGAATAAGACCTGGTGCTTCCTGCCCTTGAGCATCTTTCTCAAGAGCTTGGATATTCTGACCACCATCCTCATTTGGAAAAGCACCAATTTTGGCACCACAGTCAGGCATTTCCAGTCAAGGTGAATTCACCTCATTTACCAGATGCAATTTTCTTATGTAGTGTCTAATGCTCTGATGTCAGGTGGATACTCAATAGATACAAAAAGTAAAATAAATGCTTAGAGGTATTACAGATTCCAAAAATAAAAGGACATCACTTGCATATAGTTGTGAGGCCCCCTCATCATAATAATCAATTAAAATACACATATTTTAATAGTATAGCTACAGCTTCTGGATAAATTTATCAACATTACTAGTTTTCAGTAAATTCTAGTTGGTCTTAAGTCACTAAATCAGGCTGTACTATGCCTAAGACTGTTACATCTGAAAGCCAAGGTAGCTCCATGTAAAGAAAGAGAACTGAGGTATGTGACAAACCAGATCTCATGTTTAATACACTTCCTTGTAGAACTCATTGAATAATTATTTCTTTAGTCTGGTATTAGCAAATTCCAGTAAGAGTCAGATAGCAAGTGTTCTGGGGGACCATATGGCCTCTGTCACTACTCAACTCTCCCCCTGTAATTCGAAAGTAATCATAGACAATACTTAAATGAAGAGGCATTAGCTACCATCTAATAAAACTTTATTTATAAAAATAGGCAGCTGGCCAAATTTGCCCCCCTCTATTCTAATTCTTCAGACTGTTCTTCCATGTTCTCAACTGTTTCCAAACTGGCTTCAGTGTGGAAAATAATATTTAACTCAAACCTTTCTTCTCCACCTTAATTATCTGTCACAAAGGTAAAACACCCAACACATCAGAAAGTAATGCTTCCTACCTTCTTGATCATCAAAGTGTATGTTTTTCAAGGAAAGATCTGCTGCTGGTGAACCCCTTTTAGTTAAATATTGAACACTAGCTATGACCCCCAAAAGATAGTTGTCCTCATTATTTTCATACTTCAAATGATTATCTTTTATTTGCTTTATATCCTTAAATTATACTTCTGTCTATATTTCTCCACTTCATTTTTCATGTATTCACTGTCAAAGTCAGAAATTGTTCATAATTCAGCCAGTCACGTATTATATCATTAAAGCAGATTAACACATTTAGTAGTTTTAGATTTCAGGTGACTATGATGTCATAGACACAAGTCTTAGTGAATGAGGTCGTTTTAACTTTCTCCATTTCTACTACCTGTCATGGTTTTTTCTCTATCACATGATTTCATAATATACTAACACCAATAATTAGATGTGTGGGGTGTATCAGACCAACTAGAAAGTTGAGACAGATAATTCAAACCTAAAGATAATTTTAAGTAGAATTATATTCTAATATTCCTCAGACATGTCCTTTGGTAAAAAATTCATCAAAATAATGAAAATGCCTCAATTTATTCTATGTAATATAAGCATTACTTAAAATCAGGGATACCTTCCATCACAGCAAAGACAACTTGTCCATTTTAACTGAAAATATCTATTTATGTGGTTTAACTGTTCAAAAAAACATGAGTTGCATCTCCATTACACTATTATTTTCACAAAGTATGTATTGGTTCTAAATAGTAGTCTTGTTGGTGGAACAATATGAATACATATGTGAGCATAGTGGTTATTTCTCACTTTCTGTGCACAGAGTATTTTTGTTGGAAAAAGACCACCAATCTCCTATAGCTAATTATACAGAAAAACAGTAAGTCTAGTTTAAGATAAGTTTCTATATCAACTTTTCATTATAAACATCATAAATATAAGATGTAATGTGCCTAAAGTAAAATACTGTAATTGTAGTGATGGTATTGATATCAGTATCTTGGAATCATATAAATTTGTAATATTAATATTCAGTTAGTGTAACAACGCAAGGTAGTCTTCATTGTAAATCTGTAGTTAAAATGTTGATTCACTAATTCTATTAATAATGATGGATAATGAGTTTTCTGTAGAGCTATCGTTTGGAGTGTTTAATTACACACTCACACAATTAGAGGTGTGGTTCCAAATATGACAAACATTCCATGTTCCTGTCTAGTGGCAAAAAGAAAGCCCGTGCTAGAACACTAGCAATCTAATTTAGCAGTCAGCCGCCCTCTTCAAGCAGACTAGGCGGTGGGAGCAGAAGTTGCACAGTGGCCCATCTGTCGTCAGCAGGTCATGTCAGTTTGAAATGAGCCTGTACCTCTGGCACACTTGCACGTGACTTCTTTCTCCTTGTCAGCCAGAGACAAGCAGATAGGAATTCTAGCAATCAGTAGCAGGAAAGTGTTTATACAATTTGAAACTGCAAAGCCTAGATTAAATCGTTTTTGACCATTATTACCAACTTTACTTTTTTTTAAGATTTTGTTTATTTATTCATGAGAGATACACAGAGAGAGAGAGAGAGAGAGAGAGAGAGAGAGGCAGAGACACAGGCAGAGGGAGAAGCAGGCTCCATGCAGGGAGCCCGACGTGGGACTCGATCCCGAGTCTCCAGGATCACGCCCTGGGCTGCAGGTGGAGCTAAACCTCTGCGCCACCAGGGCTGCCCCAACATTACTTTTCTATTGCCATTATTCTGTCCTGTGCAAATTCAGTTCTTACGGTTATAGGTTTAGGGGCACTTGGGTGACTCAGTCAGTTGAGCATCTGCCTTCAGCTCGGGTCATGATCTCAGGGCCCTGGGACTGGGCCCCGCATCGGGCTTCCTGCTCTTCGGGAGCCTGCTTCTCCCTCTCCTGCTTCCCATCCTTATGCGTGTCTCTCTCTCTCTCTGTTAAATAAATAAATAAAATATTTTTTAAAAAAAGATTATAGTTTTAATGTATTCAAAAGTCAGAAAAATTATCACCACCATCATCAAAATAGTTAACATTTATTGAGTGCTTGTATGTGCCATGAACCAGACTAAGTGCTTGACAATCTTTACCACATTTGTAAATCCTCAATATAGCAGTGATGAGGTAGGTTGTCTTAAGTGTACAGATAGGGAAATTCTGGCTGTGGAAGGTAAGTAACTTACCTAGTATCACACATTATTGAAAAGAATGGCTGTGATTTAGACGTAGGCACTCCGGAGCTTAGAGTTCAAACTCTTGCTCAAAATCATCATCCTGTAAATTTAGCATTCAAAACCTGTAATATTGTGAACAAGCCTCTGAGACTCATCACGAAGAATGAGGGATCCCTAGAGAGTGTTTCCTCTCTGTCCCACCTCTAATACAGTTTCACTATCACAGGAAGATGTCCAACAAGGAGTGGTCATTGCTGCATAGCCAGAGAGACTCTTCTGATCCAAGCATTCTGAGCTTGGTAAGACTTGAGAGTGGCTCTAGATAAGATGATCACTGGCATTAAGACTTGCAAGACCTGAAAGAAGAGGAGTTCATACTGGGTGGACCTTAACATAGGGATGCTGGCACTGGTTGGAGCAGTAGGGGCAGCCACACGGCTCTGCATTTTAGAGAACAATGGACCCTACTCAACATCTTTCCTTATTTCATCCGCAGACAGGGAAGATGGACCACGTTCCTCCACCATGGAACAGCAGAAGGAAGTTAGCCCCATTTTTCCTGACAGACACCAAATCCATAATAGTACAGCACTTAACAATGTATTAAGAAGCCCTAAAGTTACTAACTAGAAATGTAACTGTCACTGTTCATACAGAAAAGAAAAAAAATTCGATGAAAAAAGTGCAAAATGTAGAGTTGAACAGC